CAACTGTGCAAAAGAATAATGTTCAGTAGACAAACAAATAAACTTCCCTTCTTTTGTTAAATTATCAAATAGAGTATTTTATCAAAACGTTTTAAGGTTTAAGGATGATGTTTTATTAGAGTTGAATATTGCAAAATATAAGAGCCTTTTATTTAGTTTAAGCTGAAAAACTATTTTTTTTTCAGAGTTTGTTGATTCACATAGAATGTGTAAACGAGTTCTATAAAATATCAAGCAAATTTTCTTTTTGCAGTGCCTCTAATAAGAGCTGTCACGCCGCCTGGGACAGTAGTCCTGATTGGCGCCTTTTTTAATCAAATTTTCCCTATATTATATATGAAGGACCTTTTTTTTTTTGGGTGCCTTCATTTCATTTGGCGCCCCTTGGATATCTGCCGCCCGGGACAAACTGTCTGGGCGAAGATCAAAATAGTTAATTCATTATACCTATATCAAAATCAAAATAATTAAGTCATTATACCTATATTAATACAAAGCAATTAGTATATATATGTAATCATAGCAGTTTAATCTTTTTTAGGCAAGTATGGATCCTTGATTTTGGGCATCTAAAAAATCTGCCCCCCCCCCCCCCTAAAGCCACTGAATTCTTAGCAGGTGTCAGGTGTCTTTGCGACCCCCTGCCCTCTCGGCTGCACTGGCTCTAATAATTAACTTAACTTAAATATATAGTAAATGTATAAAGTTGCTAAAAAGATGCAGCAACGAGCTTAAAACAACTCTAACACCTGCTAAGAATTCAGTGGCTTTAAGGGGGGGGGGGGCAGATTTTTTAGATGCCCAAAATCAAGGATCCATACTTGCCTAAAAAAGATTAAACTGCTATGATTACATATATATACTAATTGCTTTGTATTAATATAGGTATAATGACTTAATTATTTTGATTTTGATATAGGTATAATGAATTAATTATTTTGATCTTCGCCCAGACAACATTTTTTTCTTCTTATTTTTGGTTATATTTTACCTAAATGTAGTTTTAATTGTTTTGCTCTTATATATAAGAGAAAAATATTAAAAACTACATCTAGGTAAAATATAACCAAAAATAAGAAGAAAAGATCACCTGAGTGGAGATCAAAATTTGTGTAAACAACACAATTTTCCATCAATTTACAAGAAGATTTTAAACTCTCGGGGTAACATTGATCACGTAAATAATAGTATTATTTATACTCATTAATAATAGTATAACTATTATTAATGAATATAATGAGTTAACAATTATTTCATATTTGCCTGATCCTTATTTATTCTAGCTAGACTTTTTTCATTAATTATTCTACCTAGTTTTTTAAAAAAAATTACTCAAATAACTCATTTTATAATAATAAAGATTATTTATTATCAAGCTGAATTGTTTTTTGTTGTTGTTGTTGTTGTTGTTGTTGCTGTTGTTGTTGTTGTTGTTGTTGTTGTTGTTGTTGTTGTTGTTGTTGTTGTTGTTGTTGTTGTTGTTTTTGTAAATTTATAAAACTTTATATTTTTATTAACTCTAAAGATAAGTTAATTAGTGTTCAATAATTGACTAATATAATAATGATGTGACTGCCAACTATAAATTATAGTTTATTAAATTTAGAAGTTGATAAACTGTGCATTTATTTTCACAAGTACAAAATGTAGAGTTTGTTTGTATTGCTTATATTTACTTTTTTTAAGTATAATGACTCGTAAATATAACAAACATAATATTGGAAAATCGTATATTCAATACTTTTTCTATCATCATTCTTTTGAAATAGACTATGGAAGTAGTATCCATAATAAAATGAATTCGAACCATAAATAGTGCATTGGTGCATCAACAATATTTGTTTAAGATGGAGGAGCATTTATTTTCTACCAGAATATTGGCTGTTTAATTAAGGATTTCCATTAGATAAACTTGATGTAAAATGTGTTAGCTGCTGCTTATTTAAAATTCCAAAATCATAGAGTATACAGTACAATTTTTTATAACAATATAACTGGTGATGATTGGTTTTAAATGTTATAAAGCGTTTTCAGTTAACACGTAAAATTGCATCGAACTTTAAAAAAAACGTTTAATATTTCTAACTGCAGCTATAAACAAAGAAGAATTAAAACTTCATTTTGAAAATATTAAAAATGAATTTGAAAGATTTCCACCTTGTAACAATTGAAACAATGACAAAACCAATTTGTGTGATGACCTTGGACTTAAAAAAGTTGTTATGACTCGTGAAATGAATTATCCTGAAAAAATAATACTTCTCTGTGATGTTTTGTGGATATGATTCAGGAGAAATTTTGTCACCATACGCAGTTATTAAATTATTCATTTATTTAAAAGACCAATGGCTGCAAAGAATTCTCGATTTAATCGAACCAAACCTTGTTGGTTTGATAAAGTCAGTTTTGAGGATTGATAAATTTGGGCGTTATTACCATACGTAATAAAACAAATTAAAAAAAAAATTAATAAACAATTTTTCCTCATAAAGGAAAGGCGCGAAAGATTGAACCAATACAAATTGAGAGAAAGAGTTTCTATTGAGATATGTCAGCATAATTTTAAGTAAATGAAAAAGTAACTTAATATTGTAATTTTTTTTTTTGTTGATGAAATTGAATTATATTTAAAAATGTTTGCTTATTTGTAGAGAATCATTCATCATCGTATAAATAGAAATCGTATAAATTTTAAAAGTTACAAAATACAAAGTAAATAAATTTTTTTTTAAATCACAATTTTGTTTAAAATAGTTAAAATGTTTTTAGCTTATGATATTTGTTATAACATAACATTTACTTGTATATTTATAGTCTTAATGTGTATGCAAAATAAAATTTATGTTAAAAAGTTGTTTTTTAAAATATATGCGTGCTCTTGGAACAGAAGTAGATCATGTTTACTGTTGAATATTTAAATATTTGCTTTACAAACGCGTTATTCAAACATTATGGTATTAATGTAACATAAACACCTGTATTTGCATGAATACTTTCTAACGGCAACGCCTATTGGGTGTTAATGTATCATAAACACCTTTTTTTGCATCAACACGTTTATACAGCAATTATTTAGTATTACACGTCTATATCTTTTTTCTTTAACATGAACACCTTTTTCCATAACAGTGCTCTAGGATTGTAAAACGATGTAAGATACCATCGGCAAAACTTTTTCCATAACAGTGCTCTAGGATTGTAAAACGATGTAAGATACCATCGGCAAAACTTGACTTTAGACCATCAAAAAGCGTTTTCCGATTATAACCCAGTGGGCACCCGACGTCAATCCGACGTCGGATTTACGTACGATTTTCATCAGCGATGTCAAAAGACCTATTCCGACGTTGTTCCGATGTCAGTAAAATGACGTCGGGCGATGTCTTAATCTCAACATCCCCTGACGTCGTTTCGATGTATTTTGACGTTGTTCCGACATCTTGTAAAAGACGTCCAAAAAACGTCGCAGTACTGACATCGATCCAACGTCGATAAAAAGACGTCGGGCAACGTCATAATATTAACGTACTCCGATGTCTTTTGACGTCTTCCGACGTCAATCCAACGTCCTTAAAACGACGTCGGAACAACGTCGTAAGACATCGCTGATGAAAATTTAATCCAAACCCAACAATATGTGTGCAATTGCGCTCTTCAATAAATATGTGAACTAAGCGTGTTTTTTATTAATGGAAAGAAGTTTGAATAATGGTTGATTAAACATCATGAGGTTTTGTATGATGCACTAGCATAGTTTTTTAACTATTAACATTTTCAAGTATACATTTTTTATAATATATAACTATTCGTTTTAATATTTATATAATATTTAAACAAAATTATTTCTTATCAAAGAAATAATTCCCAAATAGCTACAAGTATAAATTACTAAATAAACACGGTATAAAATATGTCCCTGTGGTGTAGTGGTAAGCGCGTTGGCCTTAATTTCTAATAGACCGAGGTTCGACTTCTGCCTGAGGCTACGTTTTTTAGTTTTCATAAACACGTTGGATTTACATCGGAATGCCGACGTCGCGCGATGTCAGTTTATCCGACGTCAAATAACATTTCCATTTCCAACGTAAACCCAACGTCGATCCGACGTCGAGATCCGACGTCGCTCGACGTTCGTTCGACGTCGAAATGCCCACTGGGAACTTGTCGTAGCAACGCTCTCTGAAAATCAAAAAAGGATTAAAAAATAAAATTTTTTATAACTAATCACCTGACTGAGAAGCATTACTTAGAACTTTATAGTTTTTAAAAAAAGTAGGGTGATCCTACATAATCGTACCGTTTTTTTTTTTGTTTTTTTTTTTTTTACCAATTTCTCTTATTTCATGTAAGTTTTCTTATAAAAATTAAGCAATATTTTTGTTTGCTGTTTTAAACTGACTTTTTTTCAAAAACAATCCTTCTCTAAAAAATTTCATGATACAGTCCTGTCACGGAGGCCCTAAAATTTCATGGTACAGTCCTGTACACGGAGGCCGTAGGTTCACGGACTTTCCCTACTTTAATACTTATGTATATTATATTTATATTTAATACCTATAATATCACAGAGCGCCCGCACTGCTTTATGATAAGACCGTATATTTGGTAAATAATAAATTTTTTTTTTTTTTTTCGAAAACCTGCTTGTTTTGAATTTTATTCCATTGCTCACATGCCTCTCTTTCAAAATCAGCAATTCAGATTGCGCATCTCTGGCTATTCGAAGTCTGTATAAGGTTTTAAAATAAACTTCCCGGTATATCTCACGCTCAGGATTTCTTAACCCAACCAATCGCCGGAAAGTGTTAGCTTCGATCTTGAAAAATGTCTTAAAATTAATATTATAATATTAAATTAAATAATATTATATTATAAAATAATAACATAAAATATTACAATTTAATATGGAGTTTAAGTATAAAGAAAAAGACAATATATATATTTATATTTTTATATATTTTTAATATATTTTTAATAATTCTTTTTTTTTTTTTTTGCAGAATAAAAAATTTATTTTGAATGGCGATGTTTGAAGCTGCAACCAAATGCATTGCTAAAAGTATAGGATCGAAGACTCTTCACCATGTTTCAGATTTAAATTCGTCTGAAAGATTCAAACTTTTATGCGTTGTATGTCAAAAAAAATCATTTTGGCCTTGGAAAAAAACGCAAATATTCCCTACTCAGATAGTATTGCAAGATATTCTTTCAACTGTATGAATTTATAACTATCTTTATTTTACTTCTTTAATAATCTGCTGTGATTATATTTGAATAACTGCAATTTAAAATAGTTCAAATAATACAATTTTTATAATATACTATAAGTTCTTTAAAAAATTTGTAATATAATGGAGGGCATTAAAAGATAAAGTTTCAATTTATGTCAATGCATATGCGAAAATTCAAGATTACATTTTTTCTAAATGACAAACAACATGATTTTATACAAAGTTGAATAATTTTTGTTCGGTAAAGAAACTTCATATGATGTTAAACAAAATTTTGATATATGAAGCTTCCACCCTCCAAAATAACAGATAATTATGAAGCAAATGATAATAATGTTGTAATAGAAGCATTGTTAACTCAATTGTTTTAAAATTCAGTTGTTAACTACGATTTGAAGTAGTAAATTGTGCATCTAAAAATAGTTGCTTGCAAAGTTTAAATGCTTTTGTACTTTCAAGGAAAAAAGAAAACAACTTTGCATTGATCATTGAATTCAATGCTCCTTGATTCAACCATTATCACTTTAAATTGATAATTTGTTTCTTTTACACTAAGAATTTAGGCTAAAATTGCTTCAATTAACTTATTACTCTTTTCACCCTTATTTATTATAAAATATAAATTGATTAGGCTTATGTTAAGATTACTTAGGTATTAAGGGAATAACTTTATTTAAAAAGATGATAAAGAATTTTGAGAATTGTTGACACAGTGAAACAATGTAAATTTTGCTAAAAATTGGTGTAAATATTTATAACATTTATATATTACTATTAAGTATTTTTTAATGGTTCCAAAATGGTTTTAAAATCCAAAATTATCTTTTAAGTCTAGCTAGTTTTTACTTTTTGACTTTTATTTAAAGTTATTAAAACAATTTGATAAGAGAATGTAATTTTTTAAAAATAATTTTATTCTGAGGTTTAATCATTTTATAGATAAGATGAACTAATTAAACTATTTTTTACAAAATAGTACAAACAGCCACAGAGAATGGTTTATCAGAAATAATTTCAAATATATATCCATTTTGGGAAGATGATAAATAGTAAAGAACAACAATAAAGGAGGTGGAGTGAAATTAAAAACTGATATTTACAAAAATAAAATGTAAGTGTATGTCAAGGCCAAGCATATGGCTATTGTTTATGTGACAAAAATAATAGCAATCAACACTATTACTCAAAATCAGTTTTATCAAGGCAGATAATATCTTTTTCTATTTTTTGTTTAAGAAGAATGTATGCACTATTTTTCATTCCAGAATTGATTGAGGTTGTGTCAAAGCACAGAAATTTTTCTTGATTTTTGATACCGCAGATTCATAAACTGCTGAGGTATATGCACAAGCAAGAAAATGATTCACACCTAAACCAGACAATAAAATTCAAAGGCAATTCATAATAGTTGAAGAATTTTTTAAATAGTTTTCTAGTTTTTAATGTTTTTTAAATGCTATAAACAATCAAAAATTAATTGACAAAGTATTAACAAATTGTCAAGTTCGTTTGTTCGAAAATTTTTGTTTTAAAGTTTGATGGTTGTTGCTTTCTTGGCATACGGAAATTGTTTTTGATGTTCAGAGTTTACTTGTAGCAGTGCTACAAGTAAACTCTGAACATTACTTTTACCCTTCTTCTTTAGTGAGGATTTTATTGTATTCTTAGATAAGGGCCATTCCTCTTTCTGCTCTGTCACAACACTCAATCTAGAAACAATCTGCAGAGTTGCCTCAAAGACACTTTTTTGGCTCCACAAATTAGGATCTTTGTTTAGCCAATCTGATGTGATACAGAGAATTTCAAAGAACTTCATGGTATTTTGCATAACAAAGTTTACAAGGTTTAGTGAATATTGTTTCCTTGATTTGTGGTTGTTGAGAATGATTTTCGATACCAACATTTGTTTTTATGCTTGAACCATTTCAGCCTTGGTAGCTGCACATATTCGGTCATCGAAAAGACTGAAGGCAATTAGTTCTTGACTCAAGTATTATGTATGACAACATAATGCCTTTATTGCCAGATTTGCAACTGTAAAATTAATTGATTTGTACAATTCTAGCCTTTCAAAGCACTTAAATCAATAAGTGGAGCTTGAATGGTGTGAGATGCTGTAAACCATGATTGGATATACAATAAGCAGATGAGTATGTTAAACAAACGAACTATATATTGTCATTTACAGATTGCTTTGGCCATCCATCTAGCCCGATGCATTGCTCCAGGTGCCACCAGATGGATGCCTTCAGGTGGGATATGTCCCATATAGATTAGTGGATAATTCAAGGAGTTCTTTATAGTCATCACAAGGCTGATTCTCCTTCTGCAAACATGAAACAGCAAGTTCCACAGCCTTTTTCATCATCACTTAGTTGTTGTTGAAAATTGTTGTGTTTTCATTTGAAATACCATCCACAATTCTATCATAAACATTTGATACCCATGTTCCCTTGAATATTTTAAACAACAAAATATCAGATCCAGTAAATCCAGCCAAGGAGTTGAATATGTCTCCAAGGACGACCTCAAATATGTAATGTCGACATGCTAAATGTAATAATGCCTTTTCAATCTTTTGTTCAATTAGAACAGCTGCACTGACTCGAGTTCCAGAGTTACTGGCAGTGGTGTCAAATGACAGCGCTTTCACATTTTCAACTAGGTGCCAGTCATTGATTGCTGCAACCATCGCATTTGCCATTGCTTTTCCTGTGCTGTTAGGGAGATCAGGAACATTGAAAAGACAAAGCTTACTAATATTCTGGGATATATTAGTAAGCTTTGTAAGTACTAGTAAGTAGTAAGTTATAACCACAATTAAGTAGTCTCCTCGTCCTTGGGAATGAGGAGACTACTTAATTGTGGCCTTCTCAGCCTTGGGGAGGTGAATTAACATAAAAAAAAAAGATCTAATTAAAGAACATTTAAATTTTATCTAAGAATAAAAACCCTGAAAATTGAAAATGCTAACTATAGTCGAATGTCTGATGCAATTATAGGTTCATCAAATTTGGATAATTGAGCAATAAACATATTTTTGGTTTGATGGAACTTTATTAGCTGATAAAGCAGTTTTAACTGATATCTAAAGACGATATATATATATATATATATATATATATATATATATATATATATATATATATATATATATATATATATATATATATATATATATATATATATATATATACACATTGTTTTTTTATTTACTTACATTTTCATTTCTATTTTACAGAAACTAAATATAGAGCAATCAGATGTAAATTTTACATTGGTCAAAGATTATATTGAAAATCCAACTCTAAACATAAAAGGAGATGTTGGTGCTAAGATTGCATCTGAATTGCAGCTGGAATTTTCAGCTTCTGACTCAGTTAGTCTCAATATCAATGTTGGATCACTTCAAAAGCAGGAGGTTTTACTTATTTCAGAATTGTTCAATTTTTTCTGCATAATATTTTGTTGTCCTATACATATTCATATATGTATTTACAATATATTATTTTAAGGTATTAACTTTGATCATTTTTTAAAGTTTTTTTTTTCAAAAGAATCTGGGAGATAAACAATTTCTTTTTTTTTTTAAAACAAAAATTTTTAGCCATTAGTTGAACCCCTATTAGGAGATAACAGCAAAGTTGCAATGACCATGAACAAAGTCAAAGCAAATACTTATAAGATCCAGGGTTTATTTTCCTAAACAACATATAATAAGTTTAATCAAGTATATTAGATAAAGATGATATGTTTTAACAACTTTGCATAATTAAAAAAAAAAGTTGATATTTTAATAATTAAATTGTTAGCATAATAATATTTAAAAAAAGTTTTGTTAAACAACCATGAACTAAAAAGTTTATTAAAATAATTGTTATCTCTGTCTTTTCAATCTTCCTAAATTGGTGTTTTTACTATCCAAGAGGTAATAATAAATCTATATTTGCTTTTTCTTACTGTCTTTATAAATATCTTTACTCAATATATATACATTTGCAAATACCCCCGAGGGTAATATAACGTTTATAATAAACATAAACGTTATATACAATATAATATACGACCCGCCCACAACATTCCTTCTGACGCTAGATAGAAATTGTATGTGGTTTTCACTCGTAGGAAAATATAGCTTTGTAGGGAAGTGATGTTTCCTCGCCATTTTTTCTGGAGCCATGTTATACCAATATACCATTTTTAATGGATCTTTGCCACTTCTGGCTGCCATATGCTTGATTGTGTGATGATGACGTTCCACAATTCCATTTCCAGATGGCCTGTAAGCGTAATGAAACAGGATGGACACTCCCCATTCTGCGCATAATTCACCAATGAGTTTTGAGCAAAAGGTCTTGCTGTTGTCAAGAAGAACTTGCCATGGAGGTCCTTTTTCTTGGAATATTTCTTCTAAATGAAGTACATTGTTGTTTCTTTCTTGTTCTGTAGCTTCCTCCAAATCGCAAACTTGTTCCTTTTACCACAGTCAATAATAGACAAATAAATCTCTGATTTATAGTGGGTTACGTCAATAGCCAAGCGGTACCAGCTCTTTCCAACTTCAAGATTTCCTTCTTCCCACCTAATTGGCATATGATCCACCGATAAACATCTTTCACAACTTTTTACGACTCACAAACTTTCTCCTTCGGATATGTCTATTTCATCAAATTAAGGGTTCGATTTACTCCAAAGTGATGAAGATTATGAAATGACTTCACATCAGGCGGTAAGACATTTGCTGTCATTACAGAATGGTTTGAATGCAGCCAATTCTGTGGTACCCTTGTAAGAGCATCGGGTTTATTTTCTGCTGACTTTACCAGGAAAAGTTTTAATTGTATATCGTACTCCTTCACAAGGTCTTCAATTAACGACAACTGGCAACAGAAAAGTGATTCTCCAAGACCATGTAGTCGAACAGGTTTGTCACCAATAATTAAGGAGTTAATCCAGCCGACAACAGTAGCAGAGTCACACTTTATGGTAATACATTCGAATCCCCATTTTGTTGTTAGATTAATTTCTTTTATCACAGCTTTTAACTCTGCAAGATTAATGTGACCCGCATCATCTTGTTTCCTCAGCCACGAACAGTCTTCTACTTTTTCCTTAGCCACTTCCAGAACCATGCCAACAGCTAAACTGCTTGCATTGCACCACAATGTTGCTTCAGAACTGTTTTTTATGTTCCATGACCCATGAACAGGATCTTCCTTTGTAAGTCTTTTATTTAAACTGCTTACTAATTTGACAACACGATCGTTCACCAAAGAGTCTCATCCACAACTACTCAAAACCCTTTTTAGATTTCCAATTTGTTTTTGGAAAATGTCTGGTCAGCTGTCCGCACCAAGAAAAGATTTGCCGATGTGTCATTTTTCTGTCAGGAACTTTGGGTATGTTGTCACGTTTCCAACCGACTTGGTTGCATTGTTTGTACACTTGCGATCCAAGCGCACGCCCACTGACAAGTTTTTCTGGCAACTTAGAATCCAAGCCATATTTTTTCAAGAATTCTTGAACTCTGCAACTTGACACTATGTTATTATTGACAATGATGTCATCAATAAATGAAACCGTCCCAGACTCAACAACTTTGTCTAAGGATAGTAACTTTTTAAAGATTTTTGTCATTATTCTGGGCGCCACATTTAAACCAAAACCCAATCTTGTTAGACAGTAATGCTGCCCTTCATATTCCACAACTTGATTTTTCCATAATGCTTTGTCGACACGAATCTGCATGTACGCTGTCTTTAAATCGATTATCTCAAGATTTTCTCCCAACTTTCTCCAGTTGCAAAGTTTGGTACTGCAAATACCGCCATCTGCAGTATGTCTGGATACAAATTGATTCAGCTCCCGGTAGTCCATCACGGGGAGCTGAATCATCACGTTCTTTTAATTTGTTTCGTTGAATTACTGCCATTAACGGAATGATGCCATTACATTTCCCTTCAAATGGTTTCAGCCAACCCTGTGCTATCCATTCACTTATTTCCATTGCGTACTCACTTTTAATGTTTTCAGAGATGTGGTAGTTTGGAGTTTTGTTCCAAACTATCACATCTCTGAAGACAAAGCAGTTGTATTGTGTCCGTTCGAAGTAGCATTTCATATTCAGGAACAATGTCGGCAACCAGGCATTCCAAATTGATGGTGGTATCATTTATAGAAAGATCAACAACAGTCTGGTATTTTACTTCAATTGACTTTCCATTCATCATAACAACCTTTTCTCTTGCGTGTTTGACATTTTTTATGTTTACAATATCCTGACTTAAAATTGATTTGGAGTATCCAGTATCCAACAATGTTTTTATTTTTCTCCCATTGACATATACGCAGATAGTTGGCCGTTTTAAATTTTGTAGGAAGCCGCTCGCACAAAAACGGGTGACTTCCCTTCCATCTTTTTTGAGTTTGTACACTTTTTATAGCAGTGCTTGGCCAGGTGATTGTCCATTCCACACACAAAGCACCTCTTCTCAATTTGTTTGCTGCAGTTTTGACTGATATGTCCATCCTCCCTGCAACGTTAGCACATTATGGTTTTTTTTTTCGGCGTTCTTGAGGAATCTGTCTTGAACTAATGGCAACAGGATTCACGCAACTGACAAAACACGATTCTTTTTGACATAACATTACCAAACTTCTTGATTTTTCAGCAATCTGGCACAGCGACATTGTTGATATTGAGTATGCAGTTTGCAGCTGTTTTCTTGCTTTTCAGGTAATCCAAGAATAAATGCACAACTTATCCACTCTTCTCTTACATGAGATAATATTAGCTTACTCAGCCTTGTTATTCTGCGAGATATACATCAACGGACTTGTTCTCTTTAAGACGGCGATTTACGAACTCCTTCGTATGCTGTTAGCAGAGAAGCAGATAAGGCAGTAGTCAGTGCAGTTTTTACTTCATTGTAGTCTTCTTTTATCTCATCACTAAGACCTTGATAAATGGCAAACACCCTGCCAGAAAGAAGTAAGGGGAGCACCACATGCAGCTTGTCAACTTTTTGAAGTTTTGCTACCAGTTTTAATTTCTATATCCATTTTGAAAAATCACCTGAACCATCGTACTGCGATACCAAATCCGCAAACTTTATCATGATACTCATTGCTGAAATAGCTTGTAATAATAAATCTATATTTATTTTTTCTTACTGTCTTTATGAATATCTTTACTCAATGTATATAAATTTGCATATACCCCGGAGGGTATGATAAACATTATAAATGTTATATACAATATAATATTTGAAGCGCCCACAACATTCCTTTTGACCCAACAAAATAATAGTTTATATATTATACAATTATTTACACTAATTACACTATCCTTAAAATTAGAGTTATCATTATATTATTTTTGATTAAAAACAGTATTTTTCAGTAGCATTTAAAGTTAACTTTTACAAAAGGAATTTGTTACCTTGATTTTGTATTGCATACAGTATTTGCGTTATACATATTGCATACAGTATTTGCGTTATCTTATTTTAATTATGAAACTATCACACTAATAACATGCACAAAATGGCTTCTTGTAATGTGCACTAATGATAATTGTCTATAGTTAAAGAGAAAAATAATATTTTATAATTTAATCTTTCTAAATTTAAAATTTCTAAATCTGAACTGCAATAATAAAACTGAATGTTCTAGAAGTTTTCATTTCTTCAAATTGAGAGTTTCATCTTTCACATGCTGTTGAAATATATTACACCACCTCTTAAGTTTTTAATAAAATAAAGTCTTACTTTTTGCTTAAAATCTTTATTTTTGTTATTTTTTTTTCCCCTGTAGCAAGAGTTTGTCTAAGAAATACGATTTGATAAAATGGTATTATCTAATACACGTTGTATGATGAATTTTTGGTTGCAACTTTCATCAGTATTCCCAAAAGTTCAATGTTATTCTTTGATTTTGTTTGAAGTCTATGCTTTTTTAATGACATTTTTGAAATTCTTTTCTATATCAGAGACCTCAAAGTCAGAGGTATCAAAGTCAGAACTTTCTGTAAGAAAGTTCTCAAAGTTGCAAATCAAATTTTTAGATGCTTGCCATAAAAATAAGTTAACAACCTTTTTCAGATTAATGTTGCACTGAATTTTCCATTATGTTTGTAACATAGCAAACATTTGCCAAAAAATGTGCTGCCACTCAAAAACAACAGGGTACCATAGAAATCAATTTTCAGCCAAATGTTATTTGTTTTCTTTTTTAATGACCTACCAAACAAAATTGCTCAAATGATAAAACTGTACACAGACGACAGCAAAATTATAGCAATAATTAAATCAGTTAACAACATATATCTCTTCAGGCTGCATCAGATGCAGTTGTGCATAAATACACAATAAAAATATTGATCGTAAAAAATTGTGCTGACACTCTTTTTGACTGTAACTTGATTGTTAGCATCTGCTAAGACTGTCTTTTATTGTTTTTATCATCACAATCCATTGCAAACCCAGCATATGCAAAGATTATTCAAGTCTTTATTGTGCTTGTCATTTCACTCCTGTTTTCATTCACCTATATAAATCTCTTATTATTCCTTATGGAATACTTTTGTTGTTATATTTGGGCTGGTACTTCAAATGAGACCCTCTCTCTTTTAGACATGGTCCAAAAATGGATTGTAAATGCTGTTAGACCTGCTTTAGGTAATAAAACTCTTTTTTTTACAAAACTAAAAACAATTTAAAAAAGTTTAGCGTTTGAAAGTTAAATATATTTTATGGGATTGTTTAATCTTGTAGTATATAATTATTTTTTATTTATCATTCTTTTATAATAATAAGATTAATCAATAGTAAAAGGTTGGCTATTTATTGTTGTCTTTATTTTTTCTAATTTTGTCAGGATTAACATCATCATAATCGCCCTGCTACTGATAAGATGTTATCCAGTACAAATTGCCTTTTATTCTTCTGCCTTTTGCAATTAGTTTTTCTAGGCAAAAGCTAGAAGAAGGTAACTCTCATTAAATACGCCTTAGGACGCTTGGTTGAGTAATTGAGATAAATATCTCAACTAAAATATGTTTCTTGCCTAAAATGATAAAGGCTGGATATTCTTGGATATACTCATGTATTTTGCTAGTTGCTATAAAACTAATGGTTCTAAGACAGGTTGTTCTAATTGCTCTGGTAATATAATTTTTTGAATTTTTAACAAAAGAAGTTTTTATTTCTTATCGTCAACTCGAGCTTCACCTTACCTCATGGATTTCTCCTACTTAAGCAGCTACTTTTTTGTAATCATCTTTTCTAATCTTTTCCACAAGAAAAACATTCTGGAAAATAGAAATCTTTTTATTATTGCTAACATTCATTATTTTCAGACTACTAAATCTCTATTTTATCCCAGAAATTAGATTCAAGAAACTTTTGCAAAAAAATTTATTACAATGTCATTAATAAAGACAAGAGTAACATTCCATGTCTTATACATGGGTTTGGATTTATTACCTTACCCAAGGATAAGATAGAACTATTTGTGATAAGTTTTTTTTCTTATTCATCTTTCAAATCTAATGCTCACACTTGTCATCTGAAAGAAACTGTTTAATCCATTCACTTTGATTCATTCATTTGAATCGCTCTTGTTGCTGTTATTTTTCATTACTATGATTATATGATGATTATATTTCCAATACTGATCTGGATATATAAAGAAATGAAATCTATTTATAGATAATAATTTTGTTTATTTTTATTAAAAATACCTGTCTTTGATAGCATTTAAATTTATACATTTTGCTCAACATTTTCCTAAAGAAAATGATTTTGAACTTTTAATTGCGCATTCTGTTCTAATGTTTTAATAAATAACCTAAACAAATAAAAAAATAATAAATACTTTTTGTAAGTTATATAATATACTATATTGAATAAATGATAATGGCAACAATAGTTTTATTTCATATTTCTTATAAGTTTTTACTTTTAGATAAAATGGCAAAAGCTAGACAATGCATTGCAGTCTTCAAAAGTAAATACTCGCCATCCCTTGTTAGAAGAAATACAATTTTTAAAGCGAACAGAGTTAGCAGTTGTACTAGAATCAATATCCACATGTGCTGATAGTACTTTGAGTGGTTCAGCTGATTTAAATGGTATAATATAGTTTTAAAGTCATAACTTTTTATTTAAATTACATCAAAGCAATATTTTCACCTATAATCAGCAAAGCAAATTTATATTATTATATCTATCCCCCTTCCCCCCTCCAAAAAAAAACAAAATCAATAATTGAAATCCCTTCCCCCCCCCCCAAAAAAAAAAAATAATAATAATAATAATTATAAAAGTAAAAATAAAATAGCATTCTATAAAAGGTATGCATTTTATAGAAAGCTATATACAAGGTGATATAACAGCTAATAACAGTATAAATTTCAATTATAAATTTACCATTCAATATTTTATAACTATCAAATTAAGAATGTGAAGTATATATATTTATACCACTTTTATATATATGTAAATTTTTTTACATTTAATATAAAATACAGAAATTTTATTAATTTATTATTAATTTACGGATTTAGGTTAGCACTGTCCTAAAATATTTAGCACACTTAAATTTTAAAATACTGCCTCTAATTCAAACAGTTTTTTCAGAATAAAAGAATAATGAAAAAAAAAAGGAAATAAAAGGAAATTCTATGTGTGTATGTATATATATGTTTGTATATATTAGGTTTAAAAGTCCATAAAGGTTTAAAAGATCATTTATTAAAAAAACAACAACAAAGGTTTAAGGTGTTACATTAAACTTGTAGAAAATGTAACTGAGGAGCCCATTCGCAAAACACGCTAAGTCCAAGCAAATTGATTTTGAGAATTGAAGGAAAACTGACCCACACATATTTTGCGCTCAAAAAAAATTGTTGGTAAAAGCTACTTTAGTGTAATGATACAAATAAAGTATGCGCATAGGAAAAAATGCAAATCAATAGGATCATGAAATAAACCTGATTAAATTATTGACTTAACTTATTTTGATAATGTGAGATGGACTTGAATTATTTTGAAAAAGGTTAGTTTACAAAAAACTATATATGTATATATAAATATAAGCTTTATTGAATTCAGACAAGGTTTGTTTTGTTTTAAAAAAACTTTAAAATGATTTTAAAGGTTTGATTTTCATGAATTACTGAAAAAAGTAATAGTATAAAAAAATGGGAACAAACAAAACACAATGGTAAAAGTTGTAGTTTCTGTATTAAAAATGTTGACCAAAGAAAATACTGTACAGTGAATAAGTTAAACATGATTACAAGCAGCATTTTCTCCAAGACAATTGTATATAGTATCTTCCTCATCTACTGTTTTTTTTTTTTATAAAAGAAAAGTTAACTATTAAATTAAATTAAATGACAGCTGAAATAAATCATCGTTTTAATCTAAGGTGAATCAAGTACACCTCCACCATTAATTTTGTTAATAGAAAATAAAAATTATTAAACGGAGAAGGGGGAAGGGGTGGTGGTTTTAATAAGCTTGGATGGATGGGAAAAGTTTAAAAAAATTAATCAAAGTTCCCTCCCTTGTATTAGACACCTAAGAGTAGATATAAAAAAATATATGGCTTGCGTTGATTAAAAGGTTTATTACTTATAGTTTAGAAAAAAATAATAAACACCTTTCTTTTTGTTTTCTTTCCCTTAGTAAGATGGTTGTTTGCTTTTTCTCCAACAGCTATAAAACTTTTTCTGATTTCAGTCATTTTGTATTAGGTGATAAATTTTTAATAATTTGATGCGCCAAGAAAAAGTGTGCTAATAATTAGTATAAGCAGACTTTTCATTGGTTGTTAAATAAACATAATGTCACTTATCGCTCATCTGATTGGCTTTTGACTTGTCTTAAAGCTTTAACTCAGTTTGACTTAACATGTTTTGAAAACGTTTTGATATTTCCCATACCTGTTTTTAGGACTAAGAGCCTTTTAATAGAACTAATATTAAAATAGATGATAGATTTCAGTATAATAAATATAGAAATCGAATTAACTCAAAAAAACATTTTTTGTGACTTGGTGTGTTTTGCAGATGTGCTCCTCATCTAGTACACATGACAAAGAAATAAATTAAGTTGATCAAAAACACCTTTTTTTTTTTTCATGTAAAAAAGCATTGTCTTTAACAAGCTAGATCGTTCATTCAAAAGTTAATAAATTATATACTTTAAATATTTTTGTAACTTTTATATTTTTATACTTTAAGGGAATTAAAAATACTTTCGGTAAACTAAATTTGCTGGTCAAGTATATTATATACTATATACAAGTTTCATAGTATATGAAACTTGCAGTGAAACATTATTTCTGTTATATATGCATAACTTGGATAGTATATTTTATTTTTTTAGTTACAACAGATGACAGTGTGTCCAATAAGTCTGTTGTTGTAGTTGATGTGCATACAAAGGATTCCATTGAAAAGAAGACCACACATTCTTACACACTACCTTCAAATACTGTGCTTGCATTCAGTTGTAACACATTTTCTGTTACAGAATATGGAGGTATTGATTTCCATGCAGCTCCAGATGAAGCTGATTTTTCAACTAAAACATTGCTGCAAAAAACAAAGAAGGATTCATTTGATTTTGTCAAATCAATGTTATTTTCATTTGTTAAATCAAGCAAGTTTTCATCAATCCAACAGTTCTTCAAATCCATCATTGGTTCAGTAGAACAATCTTCGCTTGAAGCTATATATTTATTAGTAATTTTATTTTTACTTGTGTTTACATTTTATATATATATATACATATATATATATATATATATATATATATATATATATATATATATATATATATATATATATATATATATATATATATATATATATATATATATATATATATATATATATATATATAATTTAAGTGACATCTTTAATAGAATGTGTAATTATAAGCATTAAAACATCATATACGGTATCATACTATTTATTTCTTTTTTTTAATAAGGGATATTTCGTCTCATATAGTGAGAGCCATTATCAAACTGGGAAAACCGTTAAAAAAAACAGTTAAAAAAAAAACGTTTAAAAAACTATTATAATAAATGTAACCAAATGATGTCATTGCAACATCAGATATTCAACATTTTTTAATTTTACAAAAAATGGTTTCCAATGGTGAGTCATCACCAAATTGCTATTGTCACGATTTAAAATGTTTTCTTTAGGTTTTAATCATTGTACACGTTGTTGAAATACAAATTCTACACGGTCGTTTAGATATTAGTAAAAAGGGCTATGTTTAGGTACGAATGCGTAAGAAAATACGAAAAACTTTTGAGCTTTTAAAATGGCTACGGTTCTTAACTACAGAGAATATTTTATATGGCAACAGTTTATTTGTTAATTAATTTCTGAAAAGCCAATGATATAGCCTTATTTTTAATGTAAATCAATAAAATAATACAAAAATTTTGCAAAAATATAAATAAATATCTAACAAAAAACTTTGCAAAAATCAACAAAAATCTTAACAAAAATCTTTGTGCGCTAAAACTGTATTTTTACTGAATACTTTTTTAGTGTAAATTATAGATTTGTTTATTTATTTAAAATCAATTTTCTAAAAATCTGACTGTAGGATTTCAATAATTTTTTTTTAAACTTCAGATAAATATGTTCTATATGTATGATATTTTTCTGGTCATTGCTTCAACTTTTTCTCCATATAAAAATTTGTTTTTACTGTTATGACTATTTCCTTATATATCTGGCTTATATAAACGACTATTTCCTTATATACTGTTACGACTATTTCCTTATATAAGTGCAATTTCATTAATTATTTTGTTATTTACTATTTTTCTGACTAGGATTTTCCCCAAAAAAACTTTTTTGAACAATGTATGCTTAATGTGTTTTATATAATAAAAAACAATTTGTTTTTAAAAATTTTTGAAAACAAATATTTTGATGACTCCCTCAAGACCCTTATTTTTTTTAATAATTATTAGGAACATAAAAAGTTCCTAATAATTATAAAAATATATATATATAAGTGTATTATGTATAAATTATATCATAATGGGTCTCAAGTGAAGCAAAATTATATGAAAATTTCAAAAAAAGATATTCCAAAAAATTGGTAATAATGGACATTTTTTTTTTTTAGTTAATAAAATTCATTTTTTATGGCGTTAAATCTAACATATTTTGATGACTCCCTCATAAACCTTAGAAACTTGTTATGTTTTATTTATTTAGGAATTTATTATGTTTTCTTTGAGTGTATCATGTTGGGTCTTAAATGAAGCAAAATTATATGAAAATTTCAATGTTAGATTTAACACCATAAAAAATGAATTTTATCAACTAAAAAAGAAAAGTCCATTTTTACCAATTTTTGGCAATATTTTATTCATATTTGAAATTTTCATGATTTCGCTTAATTTGAGCCGAATTGTCAAGATACACTTTTGAAGATTTTTTTAATTGATAATAATAGGAACTCTTTATATGTTTAAAGGACTCCAAAAATGATTTTTCTTCAAAAAAAATTTTTATCATATAAAGCACATTAGGAGGTGGCAGCTACATTTTTTTTTTTAAATATAGCTGCCAAAAATTTAAAAAAATAACTTAATAATAAATAAGCTGGTAGTAATACAGTGAAATAACGGTTTTAATCATGTTGAATTAAATATTTAAAAAGCCACATATTTTTTTGATATATATATTTTTTATATATATATTACAAAATAAAAAACGAAATGTCTTTGTTTTGCTATTTATTTCTTCTGCACTATGTATGGTGTTGCAGAAATAAAAAACTTTTGCTCTGTATACTTTAGTAAAAAATCTATAATAATTATGTCACAAAAGCATTATACAAATAATGATCAAACTGCAAATATAATATAGAACTACTTTTAGAACTGTTTCCTTCATTAGTTTATGTGTTGAAGATGTTCCAGACTTAACGCCATTCCTTTCGAAAAGTTATTTATATTTTGCCCTTTGCAGTTTTTGTTTAACTGTAAATAAGTAAGTCAGTAAATCAAATCAATGTTAACATAACTAAAAACTAAAATTATTATAAAAAAAATTTTCCTACAAATAAAATTGCTTAGAGATTATTATTAGATGAATATATTTTATTATACTTTCTACTAAAGTTTGTTGAATATTGCAACAAAAAAGTAAAAAATGCAGTAAAAAAAAATACTCTTATGCTAAGACTTGCCCTATTTTTTAAGTATAAATATGCAAATATATGCATTTAAACAGTTTATATATGCAAATATATGCACTTATACATTTAAAAAAATGCATACTTGAATTATAACAAGCAGGTTTTTAATAACTTATTTTTTTATATTATTTGCAAAGAATTTTACTGTGAGTATTTGCATATATTAGGTAACAAAAGCATATATATATATACATATATATATATATATATATATATATATATATATATATATATATATATATATATACATATATATATATATATATATATATATATATATATATATATATATATATATATATATATATATATATATATATATATATATATATATATATATATATATATTATATATTTTATATATATATATATATATATATATTATATATTTTATATATATATATATATATATATATATATATATATATATATATATATATATATATATATATATATATATATATATATATTAGTAAATAGTCGTAACAGTAAAAACAAATTTTTATATTGAAAAAAAGTTGAAGCAATCACCAGAAAAATATCATAAATATAGTACATATTTATCTGAAGTTTAAAAAAAAATTATTGAAATCCTACAGTCAGATTTTAAGAAAATTGATTTCAACTCTATGAGTTACACTAAAAAGTTGTTAATTGAAAATAAAGGTTAAATACTCTAAGATATTTTTAATCCTTTTTTTATATATATTTTTGTGAAAATTTTGTAATAATATACTGATCTACATAAAAATAAGGTTACAACATTGAGTTTTTAGAGATCAAATAACATATAACATGGTTGCCATATTAAATATACTCTGTAGTTAAGAATCGTAGCCATTTTAAAAGTTCAAAAATTTTTCGCATTTTCTCACGCATGCGTACCTAAACATAGCGCTTGTAAACAACCGTGTCTATTGAAATACTACATTAGGATCCCTAATATTTTGAACTATTTTTTTTAAAATATTAGGAATCCGTCTGAGATTTAAGGGTCTTGAGCGACCCCTAAAATCTTTTTTTAATTTTTCAAACTAAGTATTAATTTATTACATAGAACATATTTAGGGGGTACCTGCAGACATTTTCAAAAAATGTAGTTTTATAATATATATATATAAGCCACCCATATATATATATATATATATATATATATATATATATATATATATATATATATATATATATATATATATATATATATATATATATATAGATATATAGATATATATGTGTGTGTATGTATACATATATATATATATATATGTATATATATATATATATATATATATATATATATATATATATATGTATATATATATATATATATATATTTTTTTTTTTTTTTTTTTTTTTTTTTTTTTATTTTACTTCACCTCATCAAGGCCGAGAAGGCCACTACAAACGAGGAGGCTACTTATTTTGTGGCTATAACCCTCTCTCAACTCTATAACTCCGAATCACGAACCTTGACGAACAAGGCCGCTGCGCGGAGAAACGAGTTGAGCGCGGTACTACCAGGGACGTGGTGGGGATCGAACTCGGAACCACTCGTTTATGAAGCGAGCGCTCTACCACTACACCACTACCGCATAATATATATATATATATATATATATATATATATATATATATATATATATATATATATATATCTATATATATATATATATATATATATATATATATATATATATATATATATCTATATATATATATATATATATATATATATATATATATATATATATATATATATATATATATATATATATATATATATATATATATATATATATATATATATACACAAGTTGTTAGTAACCCTGATGGTACTGCGTATAACTGGTTGGAAAAGATAATAATAATAATAATAAAAACTAAATCAGTCTCAGATTTAAAGTGTCACTCTAAATAAGTAGAAATCGTAATGAGTACGCACGACGAAGAAATATTAAGTGATCGTTTTTTTTTTAATGTTTAAAAAAGCGTTGTCATTAACAACAAGATCATTTATTCAAAAATTAAAAAACACTTAATTTTTTATTTTTTAAATAAAAATTCTTGTTACTTAATACTAACCAAAACAAAGTTCTAAAATTTTGAAAAAAAAAGCTCTACATCTTTTTAGGGTTTTTTTTATTTGACTGACTTATGTTGTTTCTGAAATGAACAGAAATAAAAACCAAGAAAAAAATATTTTTATGTATGGGTTTGTAGATATAAAGGCAAAAATCAACAATTCAGTTTTAAAATTTTTTTAAATATTTTTGGTACTATGAAAAAAACCTTTTACAGATAAAATAGTGTCCATTTTATGATGAATATTTGTAAGGTAATGTTTAAAATACAGTGGCTCAAACTCTTAACCAGCTTTGTCTACAATAGGCCTAATCAGAATTTGGTCATAAAACTCTTTAATATCTTCATCATCTGAAATTTATGGCATAAATTTATAAATGTCAGCAATCTTAGTATTGATTGGGATCGCTCCCATCCTGATAAGCTTTGGTTATAGGAAGAGGCAGCATTTAGTGCTTCCAATACCGATAGTACCGGTACCGGAATACCAGTATTACTGGACATTTTTAAGTAACAAAATACCGGTATTGGTTTGGCTCAATACCCATATTAAAAATATATGTAGAGGGCTTATGATATAGCAAGTGCTATTGCCCTCTTTAAGTAAAATACGAAAGTAAATAAAATACTTAAAACTTCCAACAACGCTTCCGGTAGGAAAATATTTGCTATCTAGTTGCCAGCTCATTTCCCACTGGGCCGGTAGGAAATGAGCTAGCAACTAGCCAGCAAATAGCTAGCTAGTCGCTACCTATGGGTAGAAGACGGGTTTAAGACATATAAAATATGTATAATACTTGTTTTAGACAATTTAAACACGTCTTTTGTTATCTAGCTATTTTTTTCCAACCGGAAGCGTTGTTTGATCGCAACTGGAAGTTTTAAGTATTTCATTTACTTTCGTGTTTTCATTAAATAATGAAACACCGATTAAAAATATTATCATTACGTCACTCGCTTTGATGTAGAACGCATGTTTGAATTTTGAACTAATGTAAATATGAAAAGTTTCCGTAATGTAAAAAGTGAGGCGTTTAAGTAACTGCGATCAACAGTTGTGCATTAGGCATGGGATTCAACTAGGTATTCAAGACATTTTGTATAAAAAAATCGGTAACTTCTGCGAAAAAAACTTGAAAGTAATCTGCAGTTACAACAATAACAAAGAAATTGACGAGGAAATACTGATGACACAAACAAAACCAATAATGATGAAGACTTTTCGGGCGGGTTTCAAGTTGTAATGAGTGAAGAGAATGATTCTACTGAACTGACTGATGATTTGCAGCCATTATTCAAAAAGGTCCGCACCGTTGTGAAATTTTTATTTCGCCGTTCTCCATCAGAAAATGATCAAAATTTAAAAAAAACACACATTAGAAAAATTTGATAAAGATCTTCCACTAATACTTGGCTCCAAAACTTGCTAGATTAGCTTGCACACAGTACTCAAAGGTTTTGTGTAATTGAAAAAATGCATTCGCAAGTCACTGATTGCCATTGAGTCCAAAGTTGAGGTAACTAATAAGGAGTTCAATGCAATATTAGCTGTTAACTTATGTCTTGCGCCAGTAAAACTGGCTGTGGAAACATTGTGCCGAAATTATGCAACACTGTTGTGAACCAATGCAACATTTTCATGATAGATAACCTTGGAGAAACTGATTTAGTTGTAAAGTTATGTTGGTGCGACGATTCAATGAGCAACGTACTCTTTTTCCAGCATACAATATTTTCTGCACAAGGGCCATCAACGTTACAAGAATTTGGATCTAGCTCTATATTTTGAGCACCATAGCAAATTAGCCATTGTAAACACCATTGCTCGACTGAAAGATTGGCTCAATCAGAAAGCATATAGTCCTCTCCCTTCCACCAGCGTTTTTTCCGATAGTGATTCTGTGGACAACGCTGTAAACTTGTCATTGAAAAAAAAGCTTGAATTTTGAAAAATAAGAAATATAACAAGGGAAGATTGAATGTTTCAAATAATTCATCAAAAATTATATGTATTGAGATGGCAGTTTTTAAAGAAGGAGGAAATCCTTGTATATATTTGCAAAATTCCTACCATTACTTGAAAACCGTGAAGCCAACAAGTTTCAAATTGGACCGTGGTTTTTTAGCAAGTGGTAACTGTCACAAAATTAGATGATCTCTTAAAGATGATGTGCTGAACGTCCTATGTTTTTTATCGGCTCATTTTACAAAGCAGAAAAAAGAGAGAAATGAAAAAGTCAGTAGTTTTGATATAAAAAATAAATAAGCTGATTGAATCAATGAAATTTTTACTATTAGCTTGAGATTTTATTTAGATTATGATAAATTTGAAAACAAAGTTTAATACCGGTATTATACAGGTATTACCAGTATTGAAATTATTTAGTACCAAAATACCGGTATTGAAAAATGGCATCGGTATTGGAAGCACTAGCAGCACTGAATGATTGGAATTTCTCAAAGGAAATGTTTGGAACTGAAAACCATCAATATATTTTCTGCAAATTACTTTTTCCTTTGTTTCAGTTTTGTGGCTCATAAAAGTGATGATTTTGAATGTAACTTTTTCGTTTCTGGGGACATTGCGGCTAGCTGCTTCATCTTTATTATTTCACATTTGTAGATAGACCTATTTACTACTCCTAATTTCCTCCTTTTTTTTTTTTTTTTTTTTTTTTTTGTATATCGGACTCCATTGTTAAATCAATTAAATCTAAAAAACTAATAAAAAAAGTGAATCAACTTGTTTCACTGTAACTATTCAACTATATTAAACTTGGGGCAACATCTTTAGTTTTATTCATGTAAGAATTCTTTGTACTAAATTAATCTCTGAGGAAATAATTCCCAAAACAATTATTGTTTTGCAATCATCATTGGTTTTCTAAAGATACTTTTACAATATATAACAATACAATTTTTTTTTTCTAAAGATGTTTTTACAACTGATTGACCAAAGGAAAATGTTAATAATTATCAAAACAAATTTTGTTTTTGATAATGATTAACAATTGCCACACAAGCAATACCCTTAAGACAATCAGTTGTAAAAATATCTTTAGAAAAAAAAAATTTCCTTTTAAATAATATATTGTAATATTTAATATTGCAAACAATTAGTTGAAAGGAAATTGGTCAGGTAATCATTACAACTTCTATTCGTGCTGATTTATAATTCTAGATTGGGCTGCATTAGTTGTTCCATACAGAAACACCATAAGTCAGTGACTTAAGGTGTTTCTGAAATCAACTGTAATTCTAGCTCGCAATTAAAGGCATAATCAAAGCCCTGACATATGTGATTTTTTTAAGGGAACTTGTATCTACTCTTAGATAATACCATTCCATGCTTAATTTATTTTTATTTAAAAATGACTTATGGTGTTTCTGAAATGATCCGTTCAAATAACAACAACAAAAATAATTAAAAAAGAAACTTGCAATGAAATGTATCATGTATGTTATATTTATATAAAACATAAAATGAGATAATTAAATATACATTATTTTTTATCATATTTTTCTACTTTATTTACAAGTGCCAAAGTATTTATGGCATTAAATTTCAAACAGAGAAGACTAATACATATACATATATATATATATATATATATATATATATATATATATATATATATAATATATATATATATATATATATATATATATGTATATGTATGTATATATATATATATATATATATATATATATATATATATATATATATATATATATATATATATATACATATATATATACATATATATATATATATATGTGTGTGTGTATATATATATATATATATATATATATATATATATATATATATATATATATATATATATATATATATATATATATATATATATATATATATATATATATATATATATATGTATATGTATATGTGTATATATATATGTATATATATATATATATATATATATATATATATATATATATATATATATATATATATATATATATATATATATATATATATATATATATATATGTATATGTATTAGTCTTCTCTGTTTGAAATTTAATGCCAGTGTCCAAAAAAGTGCTGGCAGTACGGTTCATGTATGTATGTATGTACAATTTATATTATTTTTTAATATTTGATATTAGTATAAACAAAATTTTCAAATTATTAAAACTAAGTTTAGTAAAAAAAAAAAAATTTATGTTTTATCAGTTTATTTTTTATTTTTTAGCTTTTAGCTGTAGAAGGCAGTTCTGAAAACAATTTTTATTTAAACAGTTGTCATTCAGCATTAAGGTAAAACTAATTTAACAAAACATTAAAATCTTTACTTTGCTGTAATAATTTTTTATATAATCTAATTATATTTTGTAATATAATCTATAAAATATTTCTGAAAAATATTTTAACACCTAAAAGATGTTGTTAATACATATAAACAAAATTTAGTTTATAGATATATAATATAATTTATAATAATAAAGTTAATACATATAAACCAAATACATACAAACAAAAACTAAACAATCAACATTTTTATATGATTTTAAAATTTGAGTTTAAATTGTCATGAAATTATTTAATATTTAAATTTTTATACATTATCTAGCAAAACAATTGTTGAAAATATCGGTCTTTGGAAGCCATTACTTCTTTCCTTGAACTTTTTTATTCCTGATGATTTGAGTCTAAACAAGGCTTCTATAAAATTTCCAACCAATGATGATGATTATCTTGTTAAAGGGTGCATTGGGTGGATTGATGCAATACTTGGTAAACAATTTTTTATCTTGTTTTTAAACGTTTATTTTATCTATTTGTTTTCTTGAATAATTAATTATAAATAAATATATTCATTAAATAAAGTTAAAAATAAATTTAAAATTTGAAATTAACAATAATAAAATAAAACAAAAAGTTTGGGGATTTTATTTCTTTCTGGTGAAGGATCAACAGTTTATTCTCTTTAAAACTACATATGTTTATATAAAATATATAATTTATATATATAAAATATATATATAAATTATATATGTATATATAAAATATATGTTATGTATTGATAAAAATTATATATGTATATATAAAATATATATTACGTATTAATAGAAATATATGTATATATAAAATGTATATTACATATTAATAAAATTAAGAATGCCAGGTTTTATGGAATCAGCATTGATTTAACACCTGATAATTTTTATGTAGTACAGCTTTTACTTGTTATTCATTACATTCTCAAAAATGTAGTTTTTCTTTAGTTTATTATAATTGAAATTGAAAATTATAAAATTAAATTATGAGCTTTTAGTTAATATCCTTAAACTTTATTGTGTAGATATTGCAAACATAAGTGGCATTTATTTTGGTGTGGGAGCTTAAAAAAGCTAACATTTTAAAAGATTGGTTCTATATGCTGCCAACAGCCTAAAGTTGGTTGATTCTAAAGTGAAATGCTGTTTAGCAGCTGGTAGTTATTTTGGTATTGTTCAGTCAGTCTTAATATTCTTCTCTGCATCACCACAGTGAGAGTCAAAATTTAAAGAATGCATGACACAACGCATACACTGCTGAAAGCAGGGTTGGCATTAAAAAACCCGCCCAAAAAAACCCGCCCAAAAAAACCCAATAAAACCCTAAAAAATCTGGGTTTTATTGGGTTTTTTTAAAGATATTTATCAAGTTAATGAACTATTATAACCAACTTTAACTTTATAACTATAATATTATTAACTAAAATAATTATTATCTATTATTATTAACTAAATTATTATTAACTATTATTATTAACTACTATAACCAACAATAACAGCTATCAGAGCAGGTTTACTATTATTTGAATCATTATTTGGAAATACATTATTACAATTTTTATTCAAATATTTTTATCGATTGAGATTTTTATTACTTTATGTTATTCACCTCCCAAGTTGAATTTAAATGAGTATTAGTGACCAGAGAAGCCAACACAACAGTCGAGGAGGCTACCTTGTTGTGGTTACAATCCTCTCTCAACTCTTACGCGGTAGTGGTGTTGTCGTAGAGTGCTTGCTTCATAAGTGAGAGGTTCCGAGTTCGATCCCCACTACATCCCTGGCAGTACTGCGCTTAACTCCTTTCTCCGCGCAGCGGCCTTGTTCGTCAAGGTTCGTGTTTCGGAGTTATAGAGTTGAGAGAGGGTTATAACCACAAATAAATAGCCTCCTCGCCTGTAGTGGCCTTAAACCTTAAGGAAGTTAATTGATTAAAAAAAAAAATTAAAAAAAAAAACTCTTTAACTCCTAAACACGAATCTTTATAAACAAGGCCGCTGCGCAGAGGAACAAGTTTGTTCATTTGAATTTCAAGTTCAAAGTTTAATTGAAACTTCAGTTACTGCCTCCCATTCTCTAGCCTTCTTTTTCCCATTTTCTCATTGACATTTTTAATTATATAGAATAATATTTTTAAATTTAAAATAAATCAATACATATAGATTAAGCGTGAATTTTTTTTTCTATTACAGTTTTAAATTATATTTAAAAATCTTTTTCAAAATAATTTGAAGAATTCTTGTTATAAATAATTAAACAACAATATATAAAATATGTTTTAAGTAAAGTTAAAGTAGAAAATGAAACTAATTTTCAATATCATTAAACAAAAACACAAAAAAATTTTTACAGGGACAAAATAAAAATTAAACACAAAAAAACCCAAATTTACCCAAAAAAAACCAATAAAACCCAAAAAAAACCCACTGGGCCGGGTTTTTTTAAAAAAACCCGGGTTTTTGCCAACCCTGGCTGAAAGTGAACGTCAACTACTGAGAGCTGTACATAAAACAAGATGTTATTTGAAAAATTTTCATAAAATAAATTTTTAATTAAAAATCTAGACAATTTAAAAGCAACATGTGTAGGTTTGGCAGCATGGTGTGATTCTGATTTGCTTAACAAAATTGATTCCACATTGACTAATAAGGATATTCTCAATGAATTTCCTGCAGCAGCATGGCTTTAAGCTGTGCACCATTATTAAATTGTCTCATAAAAGATTCTTATGGCAAGCTTGTTAACTTTGAATTTTTTGAAGTTATTTCAAAAAAAAAAAACTATTCTATTATAAAGAAGTGACAAGGGAAAAGAGTGCTAACAAAATTTCATGGTAAAATTATGGATAACATTGCTTCCAGTGTGAATATGAATGCTAGTGATACAATTTGTACAAAGTTTTTTTATGAAATCATTGAGAAGCTTATAACTGAGATGAAAAATGCTATTTACTCAACACTACATAAAAGATCAGATTTTCTTCTTAATAGATCCTTGTCAATTTCCAAACCCTTTAATTATTGGAACAAATAATTGTGTTTTTGTTTAAACCAAGATTTATGTTTTTGTAGTCCAATTTATGTTATTTTCGTCTTTTTTTTTTTATCTCTACCTTATAAACTATTTAATATTATGTTCGTTCAAAATTTAATTTCTTTTTCTCTAAGTGATATAAAAGCCTAATGATTATTTTATATATCGTTCGTTTTAGACACTGATAAAAACTTGCGCCATTATCTCGTGCAATTTTCTGATGAACATTTGAAATTGTTACTACATATAGTAAGCTTTTTTTATTATTTTTATTAGTTTGTTTTTTGTTTTATTTCGTTTATATTTCATTTACTTAAAAATTTGTTGTTACTTTATTAGTTTTAGTTAGCTTATTTTTTTGTTATTTTATTTATTTTGTTATAAAGTTAAACAATTTAAATAAATTTAAAAAGTTTAAATAAAGTGACCAACAACAAACCAATAAAAAAAAAAACTAGCTATATTTAGTAAATATATGACTAGGTCGAAAGTAAAATCCTGAATAAAGAAATTAATGAAGAAATCCAAATAAATTTAATGTTTTCGGAGAACCAATCAACAAAGCTGTTTTTAAACGGAATTGGATTTGTGTTTGAAACGGAAGAAGAAAAAGAAGTTATGACATATCCTTCAGAAGATCATCAAAAACTTTTAGACGCTTTTATTAACATTTATCTTTTATCAGCATAGGTTGTTTAAATTTTTTTTTCGTATCGTGATGAATTTTTTTGTATTAGTTTGATTCTTTTAAATAATATTTAAAAATAAAATTTATATTTATCATACATGATTTATAGATTTTGTATCAATATAAATTTTTTTTTTTTTTTTATTTCATTTAAAATTGTTTAAACTAATAAACTGAAAAATCTTTTCTCTTCCTTTTTTTTTTTTGCGCTAGAATAAAACGTTGTGTTTCTTTGTAATATATTACTAGATTATTACTAACTTATGTTAAATTGAAATAAAGTATTAAAATAAATTAGTAAACTTGTTTAATTTTTTTTTTGTTGCAATATTTTGGGAAGGAAGGTCACAAGAATGATTATATTCAGAAGTACTTGATTCCACGTCGGTACAGGGAAATCTATATCCATCGGCGTATGTAGATAGTTTTACCATTTTGGCCTTGGCCTTCATAAAAAAATACATAAAATTAAAGAATTAAAAGTTTTCATTCTTTATTTTCATGTATTTTTGTTTTCGGATTTTATATATATCTACAAGTATATTTTCTTATTGACTTCGTTGAATTCTGAGCATAACATGTGGTTATATTGTCACAGTACTTGCTACCTACAGTTTTGTTAATAACTGGCCTTAACGTAAGGCAAAAATTTAAGTCTGGTCTTGAAAATGTATACAAGTTTACTTTCTTTTTTTTTTTTTGTTAAAGTTATCAAGAAGATTTATTAGATTATTAAATTGTTAAGGGTGAATCTTAAGCATCACAGGATACCCCCAGATTCTCCTCTGTTATAGTCATTTTTATCAAACACTGATTATTATTTTTTCTCTAAATGTAGAAATTTATATTACGAGAAATTTAAAACTTAATCTTTTTGAAGGAATCGTTTTGAATTCGCCTATAAAGAAACTTAAAAGATTTCGTTTTAAAAAATGTCTTGTTACAGAGCACTGCGAAAAAGCCTTTTACAAGGAATTAACGCCACCAATAATGCCGGTGTTGAATATATGTCTATTGTAGGCATCAAACCTTGGACTATCTAATTCTAAAATTAACGTTCTAACCACTTTTTTTGTTGGTGGTGGTGTTCTTTATTACAATATTAAAGAATTTTAGATGTAGCTACATTATACATAAAAGAGAAACTTAATAAAACTAAAAAAATGAAGTAAGTGACTTTAAGGTGGCTCACCCATTAAATCTAACTTTTTGTTTATAAAGGTTCTAAACTTGTTTTTAATTTTTTATATAAGGAAATTACATTAAAACTTTAACTTTTCAAAATAAAAATGAAATTTGCATTTTTTGATGCTGAGTCAGCATAATTTGTCCAAAATCTTACCTTATCTAAAACAATGATATCTTGAGTAAAATTTGCACTTATTACACTATATTTTGCCAAATGGTAGCTAAATAATTGCTTTAGGGCTGGAACTAAAATTTTTTCCAAATGTGGAAAAAAATTAAAATGGCAGCAATAAATGTGCAAAAACTAATTAATCGCCAGTGTCAGTCTAACAAACTATATTGAAAATAATTTATTTATACTTGAAATATTACAATTTTAGTTCCAGCCCTCATAAATAAGTTAATACACATACTGTGAAAAGTTGAAGATAAAAGCTTTAACCAAACTGAAGATATTAATGTTTTTGTAAGAAAACCGTATAAAAATAAGAAAGTCCTAAAAAACACATTTAAAAATAAAACAATGTAAAAAAGAAAAGTGTTTTGTAAAAAGTTACTAAAAACTGCCACTAGCATAAAAGTTTACATCTTCATTCTCTTTCTCAATGTCTAAATAACCTTTTTTTATAGATCTTAAATGTTTTCTTCGTTTTTTATTCATGTCAGTCGATTTTCTTGACATACTTGATAGTCGCTTTTTATCTTTTTTGAAAGCTCCTTTTTCGAAATAAATACCTCCAGTAAACCCAAGCATTTTAAAAATATACCTTAAAGAAGTAAATCCATCATTGTAATTTAAAATAGCAGAATAAACAGCTATTTCAAGAATTTTTCTTGCAGTAAAAGTAGCTTTAGGGCATCTCTGCCATATGAAACCATTAAATGACTCATTGCAGTTTTGTGTCATTCCATGTAAACACTTTCTTAGCATTTCAGGGTTTGACAGTTCTTGAAAAATAGGTTTAATTTCCTCCATAATTGTAACAGGTAAGTTAATTTTTTGTCTATAACTTGTTTTACCTGTAACTTTATCTGATTGCCATTTGCACCAGCTGTTTTTCCCTTTTAAACAAAATTGATGACGAGTAACTTCATAAGGAAAATTTGTACAATGGTAAAGTACAGCTATTACAGAATTTCTCATACACAGTAGATCATTTTTATTTTGTCTTATAGCCATTCCAACAAAGTTCTGCATTGTGTTAATAGATTTATTGGTTAATCTTCCTTTTCCCGATATTTTTAGGCCGTCACTTAACAACCTGCCTTTAAAGTCTTTAATTTTTTGATGCAAACGAGAGCCTACTCTTTTCTGATAATGGCCAATACACTCTAGTTTTTCAATAATACAATCATCATATGGTTTACTTTTAACAACATTAGAAAATGAACTTGAGTCACCGTCTCCAAGGTATTTAGTATATCTTAAATTATACTTTTGTATAGACGAATGAAATATTTCTTGAGCTCTGAGCTAAAATGATTAACCTGGCAATTATGTGTAGCTTTCCAACATTCAAAATCAATTGGATTGTTTATTCTTTTATGTACTTCACACTGCATACAAAACTTAGATAAAGAAAAAACGTCAATCACCTTTTTATTTTCATGTGAAAGACCAGCAACAACACCATTTAGGGAAGAATATCCACGACGTTGCCATGTTCCGTCTATTGATATGCCACAGTCAATAATTTCATCATCAGAAGCATTTGCATTTAAAATTTCTCTTAGTTCTGATACAGCAGCTTTCATACTCTGTAAACTAATTTCCTTATAAACTTTATGTAATTTATTGTTTGTAAGATTATAACTGTGATTCGTAAGAGGTGGAGGCATATTCATTATAGCAGTAAAAATAGACAGCTCGTAAATTTATTTCATATGGGTTTGAACCAGGTTTTGAACTTTGATTTATAGTTGGAGATGAATAAAATGTACTTTCAAAGCCACAGTTTGAACATTGTATTATAATTCCAATAGAAAATCCCATACGTACAGATTTATTATGCAAAAAAGTTAACTTGCTATTACACTCACTGCATGTAGAATACAGTTCAAATATATTTTTAATAACTCTAAAGTTACATATAAAAAAAAAATTGTCGACTTCAGAATCACAATTCGTTGCACCATTAAAGTTATGTTTATTCTTAAGCTTTGATGCACTTGTTGTTTCTGATTTCCTGCTACAATCAACTACATCCTTTTCTTTCCTTGAATATCTATTTCCTTGATATTTTCTCTTTAAACTTCTAACTTTATTTCTTTTGTTTACCATATTTAGATTTAGATAGCTTTCAGTTAAATTCAGACAGACAGTTATAGTTAAAATACATCAGAATAGTGAAACAAAGCACATTTTTTAAAAACGATATACTTTGCAGAACAGTAGAAAAGCATAATAGATCTAACACAGAGAAATACTTCAAAATTTCTGGTGAAAATCTTTAAGAAGTAGTTAATGAAATAGTTGTTTACACCGTTGCTATGGCGTTGCTATGGAATAGGAAAGTGCATTGACCACAATAACTGTACTTTTTGTTACTTTTAAAGCACATAGTAGTAAAAATTGATTATGGATTTTGTTCTTCAATGTTTGAACTAGCATAAAACAAAAAAACAAAAAAATTTTTTTTTTTGATTTTTAATAGGGGTGAGCCACCTTAAGTGAAGACATCGTTAAAATGTAAAAATTAAAAACGCGGATACCTAAAAAAGACCATCAGGTCTTGTCACAAAGAGCAGTTGTTGAAAAAATTAGAACTTTTTTGAAAAAAATTCTAAACTTTTCTTTTGAGATACATTTGACTCACATCAATCAAACTACTGAGTCTTCCGAGCCGCTGACTCGTGTGAACTATAAAGTCTATAATTTTCTAAATAAATTTCGCGTTTTTCGCCCACTAAAGCAGCCGTGGCGCAGTGGTAGCGCACTTGCCTCAGAAACGTAAGATCCGTTGTTTAAACCCCACCTCTGGGCAAGTTTTGTGACATCAGTTGGGAAGGAGGCGTGAACTTCCTATTAAATGCTCTTCCGCGGTGCTCTGTGATAAGACCGTAAGGACTTCTTGGGGCACCTTAATCAGAAAAAAAACAAAACAACAACAACATTTTTTGTTGAATATAATTACTTAAATCTTATTTGTCGAATAAAAGAAAAAAAAATGCACGTACTGAGGTACTTCCAAATACACTTCCAGATTGTCTAAAAGGTTGTGCAAAAGAAACTAAAGAGCTGTACTACTGTGTCGCTGTGTGTGAAGCTAAATTACCAAACAATGGCAATTTGGCTTCACCAAAAAAAAAAAAAAAAATCAACAAAAATTGAATATTTTTATTGACTTTTTTTTTGTTTTTTTATTTTTTTTACTTTATAAAGTTGCGAGTAAAGTGTAATTAAAGACCAACCATCTATAAAGCATATAAGAAGTGAAACTACCTTGATTTCAAAGATAACCATATCTTTCCTGATCATGCAATTTTGGATAATGAAGAGTATAAGAAATTTTGGGAAATGCAAAGTACCGGTGAACACCCACCCTGATGTTAAGAATACGTCACACTACTTAACTAAATTTTACAATGGCAAAAAATGTCAATCGAAAATCTTAAAATCTTTTTAGTTCTGTTGTACATGTTGGCATTAATTGATAAGAAGGATCTTAAAAAAATTTAATGAACATGTTTGATTTAAACACGTTTGTTAATATCTTTGTTTAACATTTTTAGCGTTAGATACTCCATAAAACTGAGTATATTAATATTTATGTACTAATTTTTTATAGTTCAAAAGTAATGATTTAATTTATTTAAATTTTACACTCTCTCCAAAATAAAGTGGCTGCTTAAATTTTTTTCTAAACATTCTAATGTAAATAAGCACGAACTTAATTAAGCTTGGCAAATATGGCAATTTAATTTATATTTGGACGATGTCTGAATTAAGAAAGATATTAGGGTTGACAAGTCTTTTTTCTTTAATGAGTAACTTTAGGGCTTTTCATGCTTAACTTTATTTATTTATTTTTTTTATGAAAAAAGGTTGACGAAACCCTAAACTAGCCATAATAAACATTATTAAAAGTCCATAATTCGTTTTTAATACATTTTAAACTGCTCT